CTGTTGTTTTTATCAATCTAATGTCAGACTTTTCATTCTTTGCTGGATCTCCCAAGCTGTTGGACACCAAATCTACAGACCGAAAACAGACGCTGATGCACTTCATCGTCAACATCATCCAGGAGAGATACCCAGAGCTGCAATCCTTCCACACAGAGCTGCACTTCCTGGATAAGGCGGCACTTGGTAAGCACATCCTCACGTGTGTACAGTAGTTAATGATGGCTGAAGTCCTGTCACAGTTTACAAAGGTCCAAGATCCAAGAGGACCCACTACTTCCCTCCCAAACTCTAAACTATGAAACAAAGCTGCAAATTCAATTCAATTCAATTTTATTTATATAGCGCCAAATCACAACAAATGTCGCCTCAAGGCGACATTTGTTGTGCAGCCCACACACACTCAAATAAAGAAAGAAATAAAGCACAGCAGTATAATTCCTGTCAGTAGCTCAAGAGTTGCTGCTATAAAAGAAAAAGGGGGCAAATAAAAAGAAAAACTAGCATTTGATCTGATCAACATTTGGCCTCAAATCTTGTTTTTATTAACTGTATTTGTGGTTTGTAGCCCTGCAGTAATCGGATGTTTTGACTTGTGTTGCCTTTTTAACTTCTGACTTCCTGGCCCCCTTTTTTTAATCGTGTGTCCAAGATGCTGTGAATGTAGACCTGAGGTCATTTTTTAAAAATGGTTTTAAAAAAAAAAAAGTTAAATATCTCCATGAACATGAAAATCCCCCCAAAAAGATCTCAAAGTCTGTCAAGTGCATGCCAAAGAAACAGGTGGTGATATAACCCTAAGTGTGAAGAAATGCTGGCCAATAAAAAGACGGAGTGTAGTCAAAAGGGAGGTGAAGGCGCATAACTTTGATCTTACGAGACAAAATCGCTGTTTCTCTTTTCCACGTTTAAATGCAGCAGAGTTTCTGTAAATGAAAAGCTTTATTTTTAGTGACCCTCAGGACAAAATTCACAGAAAAATCTGTGTTTACCAAAATATCCGTGTACATGTCGATGTAGCGATCTTGGCTCAAGAGTTGAGAGTTCGCCTTGTAACTGGAAGGTTGCCGGTTCGAGCCCCGGCTTGGACAGTCTCGGTCGTTGTGTCCTTGGGCGAGACACTTCACCCGTTGCCTACTGGTCCGGGTGGCGCCCCAGGGTGGCTGTGGTTACAATGTAGTTGCCATCACCAGTGTGTGAATGTGTGTGTGAATGGGTGGATGACTGGATGTGTAAAGCACTTTGGGGTCCTTAGGGACTAGTAAAGCGCTGTACAAATACAGGCCATTTACCATTCAGCCTGAATCTCCCTTGTAAACTACACATGATCAAGGCAACCTGCTAGAAACCAACGCAGTCATGGGGTGTTTGCTGCTGCAACTACTCACCAACAATTGGAGAACAACCAGAAGTTTCTATGGAGGAGCTGACTGGTATGTCTGAGATGACCAAGCGGATAAAACCTACACAAAGCCTGAGTTATTGGCTATACTTTCGTTTAAACTAATACCACAGATTGTAAATACACTGATGATAAAATGGCAAATGCTCACAAGGTGTTATGACAGCAGTAGAATCCCTTTATTCATGCAACACCTTGCATAACCCTTCAGTCTTCTAAAGTACATCATAATCTAGTTGCTGTTTGATAAGCAATGATAAGAATGTTAATTTGAAGCTCTAACTTCACCTTGAAGTCTTTGTCTCTTTTAGTTTCTGTGGACAGTATCCTGCAGGACCTTCAGGCTCTGCAGAGAGGCATGGAGGGGACGAAGAGGGAGTTCTCCGTAGAAAAAGACAATCTAGTGCTGCAGCGTTTTCTCAACACCAACGTGGAGCTGCTCAACGGTCTCATAGCCGATGGAAAGACCGCACAGGTCGGGTTTAATTATCAAAATCAGAATTCTTTATTAATCCCTGAGGAAATCTCTGTCGATGTTAGGAACAGGAAGTACTTGTCAGTTCATGACCTGATATTTTTTACCTTCTTTTGCAGGATGCTTATGACTCAGCTGTGGAGTACTTCGGAGAAAACCCCAAAACAACGCCGCCCTCGATGTTCTTCCCTATTTTTGTCAGATTCATCAAAGCGTACAAGGTCAGATAACAGACAGCTGCTTCGCTGATACGCACCGAGAGCTTTTACATTACACCTGCAGCCATCAGTGACTGTTTATAATCTGACATCTGAAACATTGTTTTTGTGTTTGCCAGCAAGCAGAGCTGGACATCGAGCAGAGAAACAAGCAACACGAGGCTCCTTTAACTCCTCCTAAACCTGAAGTCATGGGGAACAAGGTGGGAACGATAAACAGTCAGTGCAGGAAAAGTGTGTCTAGAAACTTTCCAAGCACATAAAGAGGATTTTCTCCTGAATAATTAGACTGTGTCATTTTGCAACAACACTTTAAAAGCTGACAGTAGACCTCAGACTTTATCTGTCGGCCCTTTCTTTTCTTTTTTGATTTTTTTAAAAGTGATATTCAGCAAGAGAAACACCACCCTTCAAAAAGTACTTCTTCTCAGTGAAAGACAGAGAGAAATACTCTTTTCTGGAAGCCCTTTTCCTCTGGTAGAGACATTAATGATCTCAGTTTAGAGGAAAACTGCTTTGCTTTTAGAGAAACGTGTACAAAGACCCACGACATTAAAAGGTCAAAGCATCAACAAAAACTTGTCCGATGCTCCGGTCAGCCATGTCAAGTACCCACAACTAGTCCAAAGACAGATAAACTACCATAAAGTATACAAGGTGTTGGATCTGGAACAAGCCTGGAGCTGGACTGCCCTGTTTGATGTCCAAACAGCTCTCCTCAGTTCCCAGTCATATATGAACTGTTATTAAAGAAAGTGGTAAACATGGTCCGCGCTGCCGTCAAATTCAAAATAAGACAATATTTTTCTGACAATAGAAAAATGGTCAATTTTTTGTTTTAGTTAGTTTTAATTTTCGAATTGAAACATTTGTTCTACTGACCGCTTGTACTTCTTCACCTGTCAGACTTCCACATTCCTTGAGATTATAACTTTCATGCATAAAAACGACCAGACTATTGGACATAAAAAGAACTAAAACTCTCAAAGCATGTTGTAAAAAGTTGCATTCAACTAAATCTGATTTGTTGTTACAGGGTCCCACGATGCCCAGACCGCCCCAGATGGACCTGATAGCAGAGCTGAAGAAGAGGCAGATGTCTCCTCTGGTGAGGGAGGGGAAAGACGGAGCCATCGAGGACATTATCACAGGTACACAACAACCTGTCTGTTTTTTGTGTCTGTGCTGTGAACCGTTATCAGCAATTATCAGGAGGGGTTAATTACACAGAGCTCACGCTGCCATGGCAACAGAAAGATGCAGCTGTGCAGTTACAGGTTGGTGTGGTGCTAAAGCTACACAGTGACAGCTACGTAATTAAAGTTCAAACATTGTATCAAGTGAAGTTTAGCTGCTAGCATAGCAACACTTACACACTAATGCTTGACTGAAACTTTTTTCATGAATTAGAACTCGATTTTTTAATTTGTTTTGTTTTTTGTTTGTTTTGTCTACAAACTTTAAAGGCAGCAGCTAAATCAACATAAGCCACAAACTGTTTCTCTGCACTTGTTTATGTCGTGTTCCAACAACCACTCCCCAACCGATTGGGGAGTGCAGATTTTTCCCAACAGCAAGAACTCGTCACTGAGCGCTGACTCCAGTTCTTATGCTAAGCTAAGCTAACTATCTCCTGATTTCCAGCTCTAGTTTTGATGGATGGTCTAGTCCAGCGGTCTCCAACCTTTTTTGCGCCACGGACCGGTTTATGCCCGACAATATTTTCATGGACCGGCCTTTAAGGTGTCGCGGATAAATACAACAAAATAAAACTAGTACCGGTACCGAAAAAAAGAAGATTTATTCATAACACACGTGAAAAGACCCAGGAAAACCGAGTAAACGATAAAAACGATAACAAAATAACGCTGAAAACCGTTAAAAACCCTGAAAACTATACATTTCACATCTGAGCCTAAACTCTCGCGGCCCGGTACCAAACGACTCACGGACCGGTACCGGTCCGAGGCCCGGGGGTTGGGGACCGCTGGTCTAGTCCATTAATTTTTTTCTGTACCTTGTGCTGTCACACACTTTTTTCACACTAATCGTCCTCAGTGTTTTTACTTTCTTATCTAAGCAGCTGTTAATCTCATTAACATTTTATCCTATTTCCTCTCCAGCAGTGCTCTTTTTTTAAATTTCTTTAGTTCAACAAACTTTCACTAAGGCTTACGTCCCTCTCCTGTGCCCTTGTTTGTCCCTCCTCTCTTCCTGTCCCTGTTGTTTTTTTTCCTCTTCTGTCTTCAGCTCTTAAATCCGTGCCCTTCACGGCTCGCTCTGCCAAACGCTCCTCTCGTCTCTTCTGCGACTCTGTCTTCAGTGAAGAGGTGATGTTTTCAAATCCGCTCCTGCTGATCATGACACTGTCATTGTGTTTATAACCAGGAAGAGATGGTGGATACAGAGTGTGGAGGGCACTTATAATCCTTTGAGCCCAGCTTCTGTTTCTGCTCCAGTCATGAGACAAACAGTGAATACAATAATAAACACAAAAATATTAGAAACACATTATATTGCACTAAAACTGCTCTGCCTTCCCAATGTAACTGTATCCCAGACAGTCTGCCCTTGAAGGAATATTTTGGGTGCTGTTTATTGGATTTATGCCTCGTGACTGAGTTCTCTCCAGAGGTTTTCTGACACACTTTAAATGGCTTTCAAAGAGAAGGAGAGCAGCTCCAACTAAAACACAAGAATATGCTGCAGATAGCTCGTCTTGGATTTAAAGGTTAAAGGAGATCTATTATGTTTTCCTTGTTTACAGTCATAAAAGTACTGTTAGAGTGCTTGGATAATAAAGATATATTCAATATATTAAAGGGCACTGAAGGAAAGGACATTTAGCACTGTTTTCTGGTTTCAGAGCCACACAAC